TTTTGTAATCCAAGGGAACAGGGAGTGGATCTGCCCATATTTGGAAGGGAAGAAGGAGGGAGGCCCACGTGGTCTACAAAAGTGGAGACTATGGCTCCTGTCTATAATCGTGAACTTTTCTGATGTCTAGGGAACACTCAGGGAACCTATAAGAAAGGTGAATCGGGATGGCCCCTGAGGCTTTGAGAAGAGGGGCATGACGCAAGTACCTTATTAGAACAGTGGAAAGGCCACCTGGGGTAAGGCCTACATGAGGCTTTGATTATAGGCGCTACTGAATCATCAGGCCAAGTGACTGAGAGCTGTTCCCCAAAGAGAATGGAAATGCAGAATGGAGTGTTGGGGCAGAAAAGCGGCAAATTAAATTTTAGATCTTACAAGCACAGGGCGTAGGTCTGCAGGGAGTGTGGAAGTAGTCTTGTGCCTGATGAAGCCTACAATTTTCTGTTCTATAACTGGGTTATCCTGTCACAGGAGTCAGTAACTGATGGATGCCCCAGTGGCTTTTAACTGTTTGACCCATGCTTGCAGCAGGGAACTAAAAGCACAAAGGAAAAAAAAAATAAGAGCGAGAAGAGAAAAAAAAATCTCCTAAGAGGTTTTACCTCCTGGCTGGCTCACCAGAAATGTTGCTGGAGTTGTAACTTTATAAGTTTCTTTGTATCCTGAACAAAGAATTCAGCAGGACACACAGAAGAAGTAAAAGCACAGATTTGTTACAAGAGTATACTCCTCAGCTTGGGACTGGGCCAACGAAAATAGCTAACAGCCCCAAAGAAGCCAGGTGTCAGGACTTCTTGTAGTTTTACAAGGAGGAGCAGCTATAGCAACATTCCAAGAGCTGTTCGCTCCATTTGGGGGCAGGGCCCCTCCTTTCTGTGGAAGAGGGAGTTCTTGTCCCTATGTAGGTATTTGAAGAACTGTCATGGCACCTAAAGCCCATGGGCATGGAGGGTCAGATTCATGGTGTCCATGTGATACAACTGATTATCATGGAGTTGGGTTGCTTCAGATGTTCAGGATGCCCATGGAGCATGCATGGCTTAGCTGGTAGAGGTGGTGCTCTGGGTGTGAGAACATCTTGGCCCCAGAAGCCCACCATACAGGCACCCATTGTTGGTCCCAGCTCTGGCCCAGCTGTTAAGACAGGGCACTCTGGTGGTTTGGCGACAGCCAGCTTCCTCTTCTTCCCTCTACCCTTTAGACCGCCTCCTTCCAGGATTCTCTCCCTTCTCCCTTCAGCCTCATCCTGGCCCATCCTCCTTCACCGGTGGAGCCATCCCTTAATTAAATCACTTATTAGGAGACACCTATGTAGCTTCTCTGCTCTCCTAGAGGCACTCAGTCCATACTTGGATGACTGTCCAGTTCTTCCTTTATCTGATAATTCAGTGGAGGTTATTGACTGCAGTAACACTGAGTAGGCCGGCACCCCACTCCTGGGCCTCATGGAGGCAGAATGCTGGCTGTCCTGGAAAGTCTGCTTGTGTGTACAGGAAAAGCTCAGCCTCAACACACTTCATCATGTGTTCATCTCAACGTCAGTATCATTCACTCACTCACCCATCCAACAAACCCTACTGTGTATCTGTAAGGCCCGTACACCGGGCTGGGGCAGGGGGAGAATGAGGCAGCGAGCGAGCCGTGTCACTTAGGGTTCACCAGGACCAGTGGGAGAGCAAACGCTGACAGAGTCAGGTTGAGTGCGGGTGGGAGCATGGGCGCCCTGAGGAGGGAGCCACTTCCCAAGTGCTTCTGGCGGCTGGGCCATTCTTTCTTTAATCACATTCGCTGTCTCTCCATGAGAAGTTTCCTTCTGGCTCTTTCTGCCTTTTATCTCCCTTCTCTGACAAGCTTTAAAATGACAGTGTAAGCCTACCATCTTTGCTTCCCCAAACTCTGTATGTTCACAGTGGTGCTCTGATTTCTTCCCGCCTCCTCGCCCCGCTGCCCTTGTGCAGACTCCTCCAGAAGTGCAGCAGGGACAGTTTGGGAGAGGAGGAGGACACGGGTGGGCTGAGACTGAAGGGCAGCCGTGAAAATCACATTGCCTACCTGGCTCATCTGTGGGAGCCGAGCATCTTTTAACAAGACCGTGTATCATCCACCAAAGATACTCTTTTTAAAAAGTGTCTGATCAAATCTTTCACATAAATTGGGTCATTGTTTTCTAATTGTGGCTGGGAGGTTTAAAATATTATGGCTACAAATTTTTTTTGTTAAAGATGCAGAGATAATATATATGTACATATATAAATATATATATTAAATATATATCTAAGACGTAGGATAAATGACAGAAGACAGGGAGGTAGGTCTGCAGATAGGCAGTAAGAAGATGGAGGGGGCGGGGCGGGGCACAGCACGCCCCGGGCGCTCTGTCCAAGCCCAGCGCCGCGAGGAGCGCCTGCAAACGTGGAGTCAGAGAAATAAAGACTGGAAAAAACGCCCTTCATGTATTTTCTCCAAGTATTTTCTGTGACTTACTTTTTTTTTTTTTCTTTGATTGTTTGAATAGTATTAGGTGAAGAATACTTAAGTTTGACAAAACCAGACTTAACGAATTTGTTTGTGGATCATTTTCTGTAGAAAACGTAGGAGATATATTTCTCACCCAGAGTCAAAAAAGATTTCATCTGTATTGTCATCTAAAAATACACTATTTTAGGTTTTACTTCCACTATTATCCATTTGAGTCCATTTTAAATAATTTGATGTACAGATTCTTGTTACATTTTTGTGTGTGTAATCATTCTAGCATTATTTGTTGAAAAGATTTTCTACTGAACTGCCTGGGCAGTTTTGTAAAAGAGACCGGCCAATCGCATGTGTGTGTTATTTCTGTACTTTCCGCCCAGTGTCTGTTGTCTTCCTTTCCGCCGCCGCAGCCGCTTCCCTGCAGCTTTATTCCCGCAGCTTTCGCAGGCGCCGAGATCAGCACGGTGAGTCTGCACCACCGCTCGTGCATCTTCAGAGCGCTTCCTGCCCTGCACTTTTCCACACAGATTTTTGCGTGTCAAGTTCGCCCTAATACGCCCTGATCGGATCGTTAAAGGGATCATGTTGAGTTTATGGGTCAAACGGGGAGCTGTGACAGCAGAGCCTTCCTGTCCTGAACTTGGCCTATCCATTTATTTAACTGGTTTTTATTATCTAAACTTTGTACACATCTTACTTGTTTTATACTTATTTTATGCTTTGTGTCTACTTTATTTTTGGTTTTTTTTTTTTGAATTTTGGAAAATGATTTTATTGAGAAATAAATAGCAATAAGACAGTTTCAAAACTGATTAGTAGGACAGTTTCAATAATTAATACATTGCATATTGTTGTCTTAGTGGTTATTCATTGTATAGGATGCAAACATGATATGCTGTCCACAAACACTATTAGAACAAATCTATTAGTAGTACCTTTTTGAATTCAACTTCTATTTGTTCATTTCTTATAGCTTCTTTTTTATATTGATCTTGTCTGTGGTTTTTGCAAACGTACTAGTTTTTTGGGGTAGAATCTAGGGTTTTTTACATTAGAAATCATATTGTCTTTGAATAGAATCAGTTTTAGATTTTTCTTTCCAATCTACATGCCTATATTTTATTTGTATATACTCTGATCTGCTGTTTTGCTCAAAGCATCTATTTTTTTTAAATGATTACTATTTTGTATTATTAAACCCTTGCTAACTTGGCTTTGAGGTTCATTAAAAGGGGTTAGGCTTGAGCCTGGCCAGCTAAGGTGCTTGGGTTGGACTGTCAGTTCATTCTTGTGCTTCTTTCAACTCTTCATTCACAGTGTGGGTCAATTTCCTCACGGTCCATTGCTTGACCTACTCTTATCCTCAAACCAGAGTGGGCATGCGTGGGATTTAAATAACCATAGAACATCTAATTATTATTAGAATTACAGTGGCACTGATTTTCCAAGATCCTCAGGTACGGATGGTACCTGATGCTGATGAGATAGCTCTTTAGCTCTAGGGATGGACTTGCATGATAAATTCAATTCCAATCCACATTCAAGAGCTTGTGGAGCCTTGTTAGCCCATGGAGGGAGCTAATCCCTTCAAGAGCTGTCATATGATGGTCTTGCATATTTGGAACAAATTCTTAGGACTCTCCCTCCCCTAACGTGGGCCTGAGCTATTCATCTGATCCGTTCTGTATGTGGCAGGCTTTAACCTTTCAAACTGCTACCAGATTAGGACATGTTATATGGAGGTTGGTTTTGTTGTAATAGTGATCTACCGTTTTCCTGTCTTGGGTTGGTCAAGGATGGGGCCACATATTCATAATGAATTTAGTGGATGTTTTTCTTGGGCACAGTCTGTTCCTCATCAAATTAGAAACATGTCATTATGGTCATAACTTCGTAATGTGAGTCAGTGCACTCTGTGTATATGTCTATATGTTTACTTCTTTATGTGGGTGGGTAATAAAACTTTCTAAGAGTGGGGTGTACTTCCATTTCCTTTGCCTTTTTCTGTGCTTCAAAATTCTCTGCAATGTAACCAGAAAAGTAACAATTACTATACATAAAGTCAGAGAACTTTCAAAGAATATCTTTCAGCTCAGGGAAAAAATGTTATCTTCTTAACTTTGGTCTACTGATTTCTGTTGGTTTATTGAAAGGAAGAGCTAATGCTTAATCCTTTGATCAATTTTGCATGCCTACAGCTGGTAATCTGAACAACTTTGAAGATAACAATATATGTTATAACAACCATTGTTAATTTCTTATCTTGTTTTGAAATTCTGTACCTTTTTTTCTTATTTTTATTTCCTTTAATATAACAAAAAATGTTTTAAAATTAGAAACAATGTGGCCAGATACAACCAGAATTGAGAAATTAGAGAGAAGAATTTTAAATCTGGTTTCCTAGATGAAAAAGAACCTCAAAAGTAGTCTACACATTCAGAATTATATTAACTAACTGCAGAGAAAGATTGCATGAGAATACATCAATGTCATGAATGTTCCTTTTGCTCTTTGTAAACCAGGTTGAAAAGGAGAACCAAGCCTGCCCCTAAGAAGAAGTGACAGAAGAGGACAGTCCTGTGAGTGGATGGCCCCCGCCCCGGCTCTCCTCTTCTCCACCTACCCGACTTCCTCTGGTGAATCACCTGACTTCAAGTATGATGCAGGGGCAGACACCTGCTGATGCCCACAGTCTCGACGGCCAGCGAGCCCCAGGGTTGTCTGACTGCAGGTGAGAAGGGTGTCTCTGCACTCCATTCCGGCTGTGAGCCCAGTGGCAGCCCTTGGCTCCAGCACCAGGGCGCAGCTCTCTCGTGTCACCTGCCGCCTTTCCTCTCCGATGTGCACAGGCCGCCAGGCTCTGCAGGGAAGGGTGGTTCCGTGCCAGCCTCCACAGTGCCTTCTGAGCCCCTGCTCCCTTCTGTCCCTGGTATCCTGTCACTGAGTGTGGTTTTTAATCCTGGCCATTTTTGTCTGTAGTTCCTAGGGGCTCCTTTTTCTCAGTGCCATTCGTTTTCTGTTTGGCTTCCTTAATCAGCTTCTAGTACCAGGCAGTAGGCAGAGCCACAGTTGGCTCTGGGCAAGCTCCAGTTGTTGAGTGAGTGAGGTTAGGCTGCTGTGTAATCCAGAGAACCAGAGAATAAGAGTTTCTAAATTAGCATGTCACACACAGCCAGTGTGCTGTGTCAGAAGCAGAGAGAAAAGGTGGGGAGGAGCCCTCACCCCACTCAGCCTGTCCAAAGCCTGCTGCAGCCTCCGAATGTCTCCTGGACCAGGCTGGTAGAACTGAGCCACCTGAGCCGGACATTGAGCCTGCAGCCTGGCCTAGCCCACCAGGCAGTTGCTCTCGCGATCTGAGCAGCTGCTTTCAGACTGACCTTGAGCAAGTTAACAGGCTTCAGCCACTGTGCCCCTCCACCATTCCCTGAGGACCGTGGACACAGGGCTGCTGCCCTCCTACCCTGTCCCCTATGGGACACAGGCACACAGTCTGGGCACTTTGGTGAGACTGGAAAGGGAGCCTTGCTGGGGAGGCTGAGGCCTGGTGCCTCAGTGCCTCCCCTGACTGTCCCTCCACATCATGGTGTGGTGGGATCAAAAGGAGCACAGGGGCTTGGCCTCGGGGAAGCGGAGAGCCAACTAGGAAAGCTGGCAGCCTCAGGCCACCCTGGAGGAGGCCAACCCGCGGATGAGGGCATTGGAGCTTGGCTTCCATGGGCAGGGCTGCCGGCTCCCTGCCTATCTCTGTGCTCCTCTCTGCTCTCCACCGTCTGTATCCCAGATTCCAGGAGGGGTTGGGTCCTGCACATGGTGAACTCTGATGGGGACTGCAAGGACAGCATTTCACTCCCTGCCACCATCCTGCCACCTCCTATGTGCGCAAGAGCCCCCTGGGGAGAGATCTGCCAAGTCAGAGGAAGAGCCTTGGGTCCTCCTGTGCCCCTGTGGGCTGCGTGTGTATAGGCGCATGTGTGCTCGTGTGTGCATGTGCAGGGGCTCAGCGTGGGAGGACATGTGTGCCTGTGTGTGCACGTGTGGGGGCTCAGCGTGGGAGGACATGTGTGCCCGTGTGTGCATGTGTGGGGGCTCAGCGTGGGAGGACAGCTGTCCCAGTCCTGATAGTGGCAAACAGAGCCTGTGGGGTCATTTCCACTCTACGCCCTGGGCACTGAGCTGATCCGGGTGGCCATCCTCACTCCTTGACAGTCTCACTGTGTCCTTAGTGATGGCCTTGGAGGAGCCCATGTGGGCCACTTCCCCTCCTCAGTGCAGGGTGGCCGTGGAAGGCTGAGGCTGGAGTGGATCTACCTCTACCCAGGTTCCCTCTATGTCCATTCTAGAAGCCTCTTCATCTTGTTTTGACCCAAACTTAGATGATTTCTTAAGAGCTCTGAAAGTATCCCATGCACCCCACCCCAAAGCTGCGCTCCCCAGAGGCCATGGAGCAAGGAAGGGAGGGGCCGCTCAGCCTGTGAGAGGACAGGGCTCCTGGTTCTTCCAGGCCTGGCTTCTTGCCTTCCAGCTCCAGCTGGGCTGCGCCTCCCATCCTCTTTCTGTTCCCACCTCTTGTGTGAACAGGGTGTGCCATGTACCCAGGCTGGGCCCTGCAGTTGTCAATTTGACTCCCTGGTGCAGTCTAGGTGCAGGGCTCAGCCTCCTGCCGTCCCAGAGATGCTTCCCTTGAAGGCTGAGTGCCATCTCCACAGCCACTCCACTCCACCACTTTAGCTTTGTTTGTCCTCAGTGTCTCCCACCCTCTGGGGTTACCTTGCTCTCTTGTCTAATGTGTGCTCCTTCCCGTCATAATGTAACCCCTCCGGCCAGCACGCACCGACTTCTCCATCCCCAGCTTCCAGCACCAGTAAGAACTCAATAAACCCTTGTTGACTGAGCGAATGTGTGCGTGTTGGTTTTTTGTGGGAATAATTTTCCAGGAGCAGAGTTGCTTTGAGAGGTCAAGGGAACCGCTGGTGGCCTGGCAGCACTTTCTGTGTGGAGTGGAGGAGGTGAGGAACAGGAACTCCAGGGTGCAGAAGTGGTTCCCCCAGCCTAGCTCGACCATGAAGGGCAGCACAGAGCAGGGCTTGCACTGGCATGGACTGGGGACCCCTGAGCAGGCTGAGATGCTGCTGGGAAGGCAGTAGAGTTGGGGCTGAGGGAGGTGGGGAGGGTAAGAACGTATGAGGCAGGAACAGGGAAGTGGGGACGCAGGTGACACAACAGGTGTGGGAGGAGGAGGGAGGGCTCTGGTGGTGTACAGGACATGAGGCAGTGCCTTGGGGCCTTGGCTTTCTCTGTCATGAGATGACATGGGTTGATCACACAGTGGTGAAGTGTGGGGCCAGATGTGTGAGGGAAGGGGATAGATTGTAAAGAAATCTTCCCGAAACGTTCAATCATAACCCTTATGAAGTTGTGCATTCAATTTATTTGTTGTCACTGTGTTCCCTTGCCTACAACTTCATAATTAGAGCATATTTACATCTAAATCGTAGACCTAAACTAGAGAACAGACTGCTTCAGGTGGAAGATAAAAGAGTTGGAGAAATCTGATCTTCCCAGTGCATATTAAAGAGGGAACTTGCCCTATGGGTTTGCCTGTGGGAACTTACAGCCTCTCCACTGGTGAGGAAGAAGGGGTTGCTATGGGGACAGTGCCTCACTGAGTGTCTGCGGAGTGGCTGCCATCCCAGCAGAGGCCAGAAGGGTGCTGAGAAAGCTTCATGCCTGACCTGCAGCGCTGACACCTGAACAGGTGCTTAGCTCCTCTGCTTAAGGAACTGACGTGTCCTTAATGGACAGTGACGCAGTGCTGGCTCAAGGGCAGGGTGTGTGGCTGCTGTTGGGGGGAGGTTTTGCACACTTTTCTCACTTGTGACACAGACGAACCCTTATTGAAACAGTTGGTTAAGTGCAGTTATAGCAATAATTTATTCAATGTCAAGTATGTATCCACCCTACTCCGTGGAATTAGTTCTGAGTGGGAGAGGTCAGTCCCAACTCCCACAGTAGCTGAAGCTACAACCATCTGCCCCTGACTTTTATTCTTCATGTGCAAACTCTAAGTCTAAACTTGGGACACTTGGAGATGACATTCTACTAGATGAGAGGAAGGTGGCACCAGTAGGATGGCAGGCCATTCCTGCACGTCCACTGTAGCAGCTTTGGGCCTATGCTAACTTTTTTTTTTTTTTTTTTTTTTT